TAAATATGAAATTTTTTTTTTACTAAAAACAAATGAAAACTCTAACAAAAATGTATATAGATTCTTGTTTGAATTTTCGTTTGTTTTTAATATTTTTATTTTATTTTTTAGATGCATCTTAATTAAATATACTTAAAAATTATAAATTATTAAGTAAAATGTATATAAAAAAATCATTAGAAATAAATGAAAACTCATTTAAAAACAATTTCAAAAAGGGTTTGGTTTCTCGATCCCATGTTCACAATCCAACTTGAGAGAGCATTTGGATTTAGTGGGTCTATTGTGAGCCCAACCTCGATCCGTTCACTTTTTTGTACTCATTGAGAAGAATATTCATATAAAAAATAAGATGATTAGACTTCAGTTGTAACGCTCCCAAAATAATACAATAAACATATCTCTCATGCGGAAGAATATAACAGAAATACAATACTTTCATTCATCAAAGTTTACTATTTAACAACCAGTTAAATGTCATATAGGCTTACATCTTCCCAAGTCATTACTTGGTTGCACAAAGTGAGTCTCGCTTATTACATCTTATGCCATTGGCTTTACAAATAACAATCATACAAATAACAAAACATAATCAAAAAGCTCTTGCTTCCCAAAAGTTCCCCCACGCTATTGCCTTGGCGAAAGCATATCATCTGTACCTGAAAATAGTATTCTCATATAGAGTGAGCCACAGCCCAGTAAAAATAATCTAACACAATATATGAGATTTGGTAAAGGTATAAGTACCATATGCATAAACAATGCCAGTACCAAAACATCCACAAACTTGCATGTTCATATCATGCTAAGTTGTTCACACCTTAATCCATTTGCATTCATTTCAATTCCAATTTATCTATACTTCTCAATTCATGAGTCAAATTCATTATCTATACATAACCAAACTGAGACTACAACTCAATGGCTTTTCCCCAATCGTACAAAACACACATAAACACTTCTATTTGTCATTTTATGGATATTTAGTCTACGAGAATCGGCACCCATATATGTATATATATATGATTTCGGGTCTTTCACCCAAGACACTTTGGCCAACTTGCTTTCAGCGGAGTCCATCTCCGTTCTCCTCCCAAATAAACATACATATACAATGTATTTATAAACATAGTCATATGCAATGACAACTAAAATTTGATTAGCATTAAATCGCGTAATCCTCATGCAATTTCTACAACAATCATAGATATCCTCCACCGATAGTCCAATACATTTATCTCTAAACAGATATTTAATCTCAAGATAAATAGTTTATTCACAACTTCCAAAAGTGTAAGATAATATATATCTAATTTCACCATCTATACCCATAACCTTCCAATTTCACATTTTCAATACTAATCCCAATTATTTATACAAAATAATAATTTAATCAAAATTACGGCAAAATCCCTCTTTTTCCAAATATCAACCCAAACACCAAAATTAACTATTTTAGCACAACACGATCTTATATTCAAGCCTCAGACTCATTTACTTCATATTCATCAAATACCCCTCTTTTCATTTCACACCAAAATCCTAGATTTGTCCAAACCACAACCAAATCTCATCATCTATACACAATAGCAAATAACTAAGCTAAAAACCATATGAGAGAGTAGAAAATCCCTACCTCAAGCTTAGAAGAGAAGATGAGCAAAATAAGGTTGAAAATCCAAAGATGTCGAAACCATCTTCTACTTGGATCAAAATGAAGCTCTTGACAAGCTTTACATTTAATCTCAAAGGAGCAAGGCAATGAGATGCTTCCAAGAGAGTAGATCTAAAGATCTTTGAGCAAAAAGTGATTTTGGAGAGGGAGAGAGTGACTCACGGCTTGGAGAAGGAAAAAGAGAAGAAAAGTAAAGAAAATGTTAAGTGAGGGACCTATTTATAATGCTAGGTCATAATGAAATAAAGTCTCAAGGTCAACCCAAAAGATCAAGTCAAAATTCCCAAAAAGTAGGGCAAAAAACCGAACTGAAATCTGGAAAATCTGCAGGGGCTGACCCTTGCAACACTGGGGTCGACCCTATGAAGAAACTTATGTTTGACAGCATGCAAGGGATTGACCCTTAGACAAGAGGGGGTCGACCCTATTTTCCAGCAATTAACACACAGACATAAGAGGGTTGACCCTCCTCAGACTGGTGTCTACCCTATTTTTTAGCAACACTTCCAGAAACTTCACCAACAAGTAAGGGTTGACCCTTAGGAAGGCTGGTGTCGACCCCATAATAGAATTTCTAAGTTTCCAAGGAACTTTGATAAGAACAAGTGCGAACAACCTAACCCAACAAGTTTAAATCGGTCTATACTCCTCCAAAACTAATCCATAACAACACCAAAGATTTCCAAAATAAAAATAAAGGATTCGAATACACTTCCCAAAAGCTTTGAATGACACAAGTGTTACAACGTAGTTATATATTTGGATCGCATTTATCTTAAAAAAATAGACAGCAAATATAATTTCAAGAATAACCATTCATATTTTTAAAGACAAATATGATTCAAACATATAGTTATCGAAATTCAATTATCTTGATTTTTTTACATGAATATTATTCTTAATGAATTTTAAAAAATGAACAGCTTAGATTATTGAGATTGAGCTCAGAATAAACCCACTAAATTTAAATAGGCTAAATTACAGTTACCTTCTTTGAGATTTCCAATAATTATAAAGCCCTCCCTATAATTTCAACAATTACAGAAATTTTTCCTTTTTTTTTTTTTTTTTTTGACATTGTCAAGATTCTCTCTTCCTGTTAAGTTAACCCAAACGATGTTAATTTGGTTGTGCAAATGACCATAATACCCTTTAAGTGTAATTTACCTATATATTAAATTATCATTTTATTTCTTACAAACTTTTTTTCCTTGACTTTGTATTTTTTTTCCACTATAAACTTTGAACTTTTATAAGTTAAAAAAAAAAAAAAATCAACCATTAATGAAATTAAGAAAGAATATCAATGTTTTTTGTTTGAATTAATTTAATAAAAATAATTTAAATGAACAAAACAAAGATGGAGATATAGATTTTGGATGCAATAAATAATTATTTATTTATTTTATTATTTTTAAATAATTTATTTCTTCAAGTAAAATTCTCTTTTAATTAGATGTAAGAAATGAGAATTTTAAATAGTTTATTATTCTCAAATAGTTTTTTTTTTTTCATTCTCTATAAACTAATTTTAATTTATTGTAGCGTGATTAGATATTTTTTCACTTTTATATTTATTTTTTAAAATTTTATTATTAAGGTGAGAAATATTAACTCATTTTTTTTTAATATCCATCTATTGAAATTTGAAAAATTCAAAGATGAAAATTAAAATTTGAAAATAATATAGGTTTGTGAAAAGATAAAAATGACAATTTTTTTTTTATATATTTATGAGGTAACATTTGGTAATTTTTATAAGTCAACTTTTTTTTTATTATAAATATGAAATGTTATTATGTTTGTTTTTTCTTAAAAAACATTTAATGTACAAATATGGTTACAAACCAAAAGATAAATTCAAGTTTCGTAAGTTGCTGTGGTATTGAGTGATGTTAGCTAATATTGATGAAAGAGAAAAAAATAGAGGAAAAAATAGAGGAAAAAGCATAGAGAAGAGAACAAATAATAATAATAACAATAATAAATTATATGGTGTTGTTATTGGTTGCAGTGACACTATGAAAAAAATGAATGATAGAATAAATAGAAGAAGGATGAAAGAAATAAGATAAAGAAAAGAATAATGCTATATATATCAATTAATGTATTAATTAGTATACTAACAGATGATGTGACATAATTTTAGAGGTTTTGGATATTTGTAATTTGTATAATAGGTGAGGTCAGTAATAATGACATAATACCAATTGATACACTAGTGTGTATATTAATTGGTGCATGTAGCACCATTGTAAAGAAAATGAAAAAAGATGGATAATTTCTCCAAATATGTATTTTTCATATAGGAAAAAAAAAATCAAATACTTATATGTATTTTTAAATTTTTATTCAAACTCTAATTTATCAAAATAGGTATTCATAGAATTTGTGGTCTTTTTAAGAAATAAAAGATTTTTTATATTTTGTTTTTTAATTTTCAAATAAATGATTGTATTTAATTTTGTATAAGCTTTGATGGTGATCAATTTCTTAGCTTTTTATTTTTTATTTTTTTTATTTCTGTAGATAATGTAATGTTTGGTTATTCTACTATATATATATATATGCTTGTCTTAATAATTTAGAATTTTTTTTTAAAAAATATTGTATAGAATTCAATAATTTTGTTCTACATTACTAAAATAATGTATAGATTTTTATTAATTTTTTGTAAAACCTCATGAGATGTATGTGAAATTTACTATTTGAATATATAATAACAATCTTGGATTTTTTTTACAAATATTACATGACATCAGTATGATGTTAGTATATTCTGCTAAACAAACTAACAAAAAATTAACAGTGAGAGAATCTTAATAATAATTCAAAAGTAAGAGAAATTTTATAATTATTAAAATAAGAAAAAAGTCTATGTAATTGTCAAAAACTTAAAAGAAAGTAAGTATGATTTACCCATATCATAGAAAGTAAGTGTAATTTACCCATTTAAATATTGTGTCAAATTGAATACTAATATTAGATAAGTCAAACCATTTTAAAAATCATTTAAAAAAAAAAAACCATTTTAAAAAGCAAACCAAACAGATTAAGGCCTCGTTTGACAAGTATTTTTTTAGTTAAAAAATTAAAAAGATATTAAAAAAATCAAAAAATAACAATTCATACAAAAATGTTAAAAGATTCTCTTTTCTCTCTATTTTTTGTATATTTTTTTGTAAAAAGTCAAAAAATCATTTCAAACATATTAATTATTTTAATATCATATTTTAACCAAAAAATTAAAACATTATTAAAAACAATCTGTTCTCAAACGGCGCCTCAACAATCAGGGTCGTTTGTGTCCCCAAACCAACATAGACCTGAGTAAGAACAAAAGAACAATTACGTTCTACAACATTCGGATTAGAATGGTCAAACTTTTTTTACAACATAAACCTGTGATGAAGCTTCTCAAGCTGTGTACATGGAATTCACTGGGTAATCAATGTAGCATTTCTGGGGTTTTCAGCGCTTTGTTCTACTCCACTCAGACTGAGACCGAGACCGGGACTTCCTCATCGTCTTCAAGGGACACTCTGTATGGTAGGCTTTTACAGTTCGGAAACCCTAGGGTTTCAATTGTACCAATGGGTCGGTGAAGGAAGACCTGTCGGGCAATCAAACCTTCAGGTTCTCAGCAGGCAGCTCAGAAAATCCAAACGTTACAATCACGCTCTCGAGGTAATCCCTCTCTCTCTCTCTCTCTCATGTAAGTCGATTGCTGAAATTGTTAGTTGTGCACATATGATTTTTACTTGTAACTTTGTGCTTTTGTTTGTGCTTGTCTAACAATAGCATTTGAAAAGCATAATAGCTGATTTATTCAGTTTAGTTTGAAAGTAATGTGATAATAGTTGCAATGAAAGTAAAAATTTGATGCTTATCTCCAATCCTTCACCATTTTTTATCATCAAATTTAAATTTGATGAAAAAGTGCTCAAAAATCATCACCAATCCTTTCATCAAATGTCCGTATCAAATCAAATTTTTACTTAAATTTGGAATCAAATTAGATGAAAAATTTGGTGAAGGGTTGGAGATGCTTTTATATATAGTATTTGGTTCACCGGAATATGAACGTGGAATGGAATGAACCGTATGGAATGAAGGACTAACCATTCATCTATAATGGTGAATGATGATTCCGTTTGCAGTGCATTTTCAATCATTTATTTAGTGACCTAAAACATGTGAATGGATATTAAGATAGAATAGTTATTTCATTCCACCTCGATTTTAGTGAACCAAACACTACTTTAGAGTGCGTATGTGCTAACTTCGGTGTGTTACTTCATGTATAAAATTTCTTTGATAATTTGTACTGATGGCTTTCCTTTTCTTTGATTTTTGATTTTTGCCCGCCAATTCATATTAGGCTTTGTATGGAGCTTGGAATTGTTGAGGGAAAGAAAAATGAGTAGGAAAACCATTTCCTTTGTGCATCCTGTCCTATTTAGAAAACTTTAGGTTTTAATATTTTCATGAAATGAAATCATGAAAAAGAGGAGAAATGATGTCTTGAAGTAAAAACTTTCCCATGTACATTCATCATATTTGCTCTCTTTTTTTCTTTTATTTTTTCTTCACATTGTTTTCCATGATAACCAAACAAGGAATAGTGATTTCTTTTTCATATCTGTCAACAAATCCATGAATGAAATATAGCATAAATGACTCTGATATTAATGGATATGGTATCTTTAAGGGAGAAAAGGAAAACTATAGCAAGAAATGCAACGTGCAAAGCACGGCTCTATCACCAACTCTATTAGTTAAATGATAACATGCTGCCATCTATGATGCACGGACACAGACACGGGACACGATACGGACATGGAAAAACGTAAATTTTCAAAAAATAGGGGACACAACACGCTGGGGACATGTTCAGTATATATAATTTTATTTTTTTATTATATGTAAAATTAAAAAATATAAATATTATCTATTTATTTTAATATCAAATATTATTCACAAATTAAAATTTTCCTATAAATAAAAATAATTTATTTAAACAAATAATAATATCTAAAAAATAGAAAAAAGGAAAAGAAAAAAAAAAGAAAAAAAAAGATTTTTGTTCAAATATATATCTAAGTATATAATATATATACTATTATTATAATAGAATGTATAGCGATCAATAGTCAAGGAGGGGGTTGAAACACCATAGCGAGAGAGGGAGAGCAGTGATCGATAGTCAAAGGAAAGGGTTGAAACACCATAGCGAGAGAGAGAGAGCAAGGAGGGAGACGACACTGACGAGGAAGACCACACAGACGACGCAGACGAAACAAAGAAAGAAGAAGAAAAATAGAAGAAAAGAAGAAGATCGAAAAAGAAATTTGAAGAATCGAAGAACATACCTGTAGACGTCCCCAAACGCCCCGGGAGGAACGAGCTCTCGTTCTGTTCATTTTGGGGTCACTACAGCTCAGGACTCTCAAATTTGTCACGGTTCTAAATCTGAACCAAAGAGTCCAAATCCGGCAAATCGATTTGA